TACGTCCGACGTAGGAAAATTTGATCACTATGTCCAGCATGTTGTATTACACTGTAAAAAATTCTGGTGTATTAAAACATACTGAATGTAATTTTACACAGCAATATTATAGGCTGGACGTAGTAAATTTACTAAGTTTCAAAGTAGTTTTACTATTTTTAATAATTTTACTTTATATGACTATGTAATTTAATAGTTTTGTGTAAATTTACTACGTCCGACGTAGGAAAATTTGATCACTATGTCCAGCATGTTGTATTACACTCGTCTGTTTTTTTACTTTATTCTGTGAATTTACAATGGTCATGTAAAGTTACCACGGATACGTAAATTTACGTTGTATTGCATGTAAGATTACATGCCGCGTGTATTTTTCCTTTAGCGCGGAGTTAAATATATTATATGGATGCTTGCACATGCTCAAAATAAAGTGAACTGCCAACACCGACATTTTGCCTTTTTTGTGTTTTTATTATTAGTATATATATTTTAGTGTTTTCAATTAGTATTATTTAACAGATTACGCATTAGTTAAATTACATGCGGCATGTTTTTGAACAGAACGCTATTTGAAGCAACCCATTTTAACATTGAGCATGTAAAATAACATGCAGGTTATGTCAAATGATCAGCCATTTGTAAAATTACACGCTTGACGTAGTGATTTTCTTTTCCTACGTCGGACGTAGTAAATTTACATGAGAATTTTTTACAGTGTACACTCGTCTGTTTTTTTACTTTATTCTGTGAATTTACAATGGTCATGTAAAGTTACCACGGATACGTAAATTTACGTTGTATTGCATGTAAGATTACATGCCGCGTGTATTTTTCCTTTAGCGCGGAGTTAAATATATTATATGGATGCTTGCACATGCTCAAAATAAAGTGAACTGCCAACACCGACATTTTGCCTTTTTTGTGTTTTTATTATTAGTATATATATTTTAGTGTTTTCAATTAGTATTATTTAACAGATTACGCATTAGTTAAATTACATGCGGCATGTTTTTGAACAGAACGCTATTTGAAGCAACCCATTTTAACATTGAGCATGTAAAATAACATGCAGGTTATGTCAAATGATCAGCCATTTGTAAAATTACACGCTTGACGTAGTGATTTTCTTTTCCTACGTCGGACGTAGTAAATTTACATGAGAATTTTTTACAGTGTGTACTTAATTTACTAAAACTGTCTCATTTCTCATTTTGATATTTGAATATTAATCAGCAATCACAAAAGTAGAAGTGGGAGGAAAAATCAATATCGAGAATCAATACATATAATTATGCCGACAACAGGTAAAAATCAATAATGGAAATCAATGTGCGCATAAGTGTGAATGTTAGTTCATTAACCATAATTTGATTGGTTAACAAGTATTAATAATTATAATATTATACTATGAATGCAAATTGCAAGGAATAAAGAAAAAGCGATTGACAATTACCGTAAGATCATTGCTAGAAGTCAAGATAGCGCAGTCAATCAGCAACCATTCGGCCATTACTTTAAACATATGTAGAAAGACAAAAAACATTTTCTTCAAGTTGCGCAGATCCTCCGTCGTGAAGCGCTAGTTGCGAAATGCTGCTGCTGCGAAAAAACGCCGTGTATTTATACGTGGCCGGAGAGTGAGAGCGGGCAGCCAATCAGAATCTTCCGGCGCTTTCTGATTGGCTGCGCCGTCTTCCTCCCCGGCAACGTAAATACACGGCGTTTTCTCACAGCGGCAGCATTTCGCAACTAGCGTTTCACGACGGTTGATCTGCGCAAATAAAAAAAAACTATTCTTTGTCTTTCTACACACGTAATTGTACATGCTTACAGTAATTGTTGCTGATTGGCTGCGCTATCCTGGCTCCTAACTGCAGATCTTACGGTAATTGTCAATTGTTTTTCTTGACCACTCCGAGTCGAAGACTCGGAGTTATCGATTTCTTCATGTTTTACAATATTTATTAAAGATGATCGAGTGATAAAATCCTTATTTTATATTATAATATTGTTACTGTAACTTCTTTAAAATTATCTTCATCATTTTAATTCAATTTTTATAAAATTTCAATTTAAAACTTTTTGAAGTTCATCTATTTATGCATTATTTAAACCGAAACAAACAAAAAAGTTTCCAGCCTCTTTTTTCGCTAATAACACAACTTGTATAAAAAATTGAAAAAATTGATCACTTCTTCCAAAGGAACACAAGAAATAATGATTTTAGTTTAAAGAAGACTTTTTTAAAATATTGAATTCCAGAATATTCTATAATAAGAAAAAGAGACTTACAAACATATGGACAGGTGCAAGAGTATTAGGTAAAAGTTAACAAAACTAGACAATGAGTAGGTATAGATCTAGATTGTCTAATATTTAATTCCTTCACTATGAATTTATATTATGTATACATCGCAGCGTTCTCATTTTTAAAAGCGCAATGAACGAATTTTTTGTTTCACGTTTCTAATGATCGAAAAAAGCATTTGAAAAGAAAGCAGTGTGAACAAGTCCATTTTTTTAATACGTTTACACCTGTTTCATGTGTACATGTGTGTAAATTAATCAACATCACTGTACTGCAATTGCACGAAAACTCATCTGACTCTTCAAATACAGAAACAAGACACGACAAGGTAATTTTACCTGATCGTTATGGCTATTACATCAGGTGTAATTATTAATCTTTTTCTTCTTTTTTCGAGAAAAATAAAAATAAAGCGATTTTTTACATTTATACGATTTTAAAGAAAGCCGCCTGAAAAATAAAAGTTGCAATCAACATAGCAAAATATTGTCTATAAATAATGTCGTGAGTTTCGCAAAAAAGTCTATAATATTGAATGTTTCTTAAAACTGAATGTACAGCAAATGACATAATATCCTAATAATGATAATTTTATGAAAAAATCAAATTTTTGGGGAGTGGAAAACGTCGACATTTTTTTTGCTGACTGAGTAAATGTATCTAATTAACACAAAAATTGTAAACAATAATAAATTAATTGTTTATAATAATACACAGCATTCGACATTATTTTCTAAAAAGTGGAAATTTTAGAGAAAAATGTATTAACTTAATATATAAAATTTACATAAAAAGTATATTTACTTATTGATTGTTTGTATTTAGATTAAACAAAATATTTTTTTTCAATTAACAAAAGGCGATTTTTTGTGAAACTTAATTTTTTTTAATCAAACTTAGAGTGACATTTGTATTAAAAATTGGAAACTATTGCTGAATTTTAACAATAGTTGGTAAAATAGAGTTGATGAGAGAGAGTTACCTACGAAAGATAAGTGGAAAAAAAAAGAAGTTTCCCCCTTACCGACGGTAGATTTTTACAGCTGGTGATGGCTTGGTGGCCAAAAGACTAAATTGCCATTTCGCTAAATTAAAATTTTACACAGTAAGAGGTTAGGTTCGAAACACTCAGTCGGTAAAACAGTTTTGCTGTGCGTGGTTTAGCAAAATGGCAATTTAGCCTTTTGGCCACTAAGCGATGAACAAATGAGTAAAAACGTGCAGAAAAAGTGCTTTAATATCAAATAATAATAACATTAATAATAATAAATAATATAAACACTCATTAACTAATTAATTATTAATATTTATTATTTTCAAATATTTAATCAAATTCTTCGAGAAACAATTCAATTATTTTTCAAAATTTAAATAAAATTCTTTGCAAGAATTGAATTTATTTTCAAAGCAATAATAAAATTCTCTCTAGGAATTCAATTATTTTCAATACAATTATTATTTTATAGAACAAATTCAATTATTATTAGAAATTTTAATAAAATTTTTTCTAAAGAAGTCGATTTTTTTAAAAAATAATAAAATTCTTCACAGAAATTCAATTATTTTCATAAATAATAAAACAGTTCAAAGGAATTCAAATATTTTTAGATAAAATTTTAATTTTCTCCAAAAAATTAAATTATTTTTTAAAATTGTTAAAAAATTATTCTAAAGAATTGAATTATTTTCATAAATAATAAAATTCTTCAAAAGAATTCAATTTTTTTCAAAAATTTTAATAAAATTATTTGAACGAATTCAATTATTTTCATAAACAAGAAAATTATTTAATTCAATTAAATTCTTAAAATTTAATTATTTTCATTATAATATATTAATAACATTTCTCTAAATAATTCAATTACTTTTAAAAATTGAAATTAAATTCTTCGAATAATTTCCCAAAATTTTAATACAATTTTTAAGAAATATGTTCATTTTAAAAATTAGAAAAATTCTTCGTCAAATTCAATTTTTTTTCAAAATTTTCAATTAAAATTATTTTTAAAAAACTACTTCATTTTCAAAGAATTCTAAGAAATTCTTCACAACAATTAAATTATTTTCAAAGATTTTTAATAAAATTTTTGACAAGAATTCAATTTTTTTCATAAATAATGAAATTCTTTGCAGAAAATCAATGATTTTCTAAAATTTTAATTGTTTCTAAAATTAGAAATTAAAAAATTAAAATTAAAATTTAATTGTTTTCTAAAATTTTAAATTGTTCTAACAATTCAAATTATTTTCAAACATTTTTGATAAATTTTCTTAAAAGAATTCAATTATTTTCAAAAATTTTAATAAAATTCTATGCAAGAATTATATTATTACAGGTTTAGAATAATACATGTTTTAAATACATTTTATTATAACAAAGAAAAATTATTTAAAAAAATTAATAAACAAAAGAGCAAACAAAAAGAATTTCGTACGGCGATCCGGATGTCCGGATTACAACAATTATCAAATACGGATTTATTAAATAATAATAAGTAAATGTAAATATAATGAAATAAAATTTAATTATTTATTCTTAATTAATTATCAATGTAATGTTTTTTAATTAATTATCAGTAATTTTTATAAGTAATTAACATAGAATTAATATAATTAAAATTAAATGTACAATTATTTTTTTAAATCACGATTAATTAACCAGGATGATAGATTAAAAAAATAAAAACGTTAGTGAATCATAATAATGTATTTTTGTTTTTGAAGCTTAACACTTGATTTTTTTTTTATCATTATATACACATACGCGATTAATAATTATACTTAAAATGAAAGGGTAAAATAAGATAAACTTAAGTGTACGCTAAAAAGATGGAACCTATTGAGAAAATACTTAATTTGCTCTTAAGAAAATGAGCCATCTGATTCACAAAGTCATTTTCAATTATAGTGTTGAATGTTTCATTGTTACTAGGAATAATTTAATTTGACAATCATTACACTTAATTTTACGACGTTCAGTAAACACTTAAAGTGTAAGATGTACGTTTATATATATGATGACGGGGGAGGGAGAAAATTCTTACATTTACAGAGACAATTCTTTCTTTTTCTCTCTTACAAGAAGTAATATTATTCATTTCATTAAAAAAAAAAAAAATGAACAAATCCAAAAGATAAATATTAAAAACTTCTAAAAAAATGCGGACGTGTTGAAAATATTACTTCTGTATAAGAGATTTCGTTTTCACTGGAACGTGATATTTTAAAATGGATATGAATTCTGTATCGCTTAATTACTAATTGCTTTTCTCTCAGTTGACAAAAAACGACGACACAATTAATCGTTGAAGTTGTTTTTTTTTATAAATCAAGATCACCAAAAATTCATAATGATTACTTCACGAGGTGTAATTTTTTTCTTTTTACACAATTATTTTACAAAAACACCCTAGTTAATAATTTAAACTAAACTATCACCAGTGAATACAATTCATCAATTATAATTATATTCACCATTTTTTTTTTAATTTTAATAATTAAAATCAATTTTTTTTTTTATTGAAAAAAAATCAAATTTGATTTTTTTATTTGTTTACGTGAAGAATTTGTTTTTTTCAGAAGAATCGTTATGTATTTGCGTGATAAATTGTCGACATTTGTTTTTCAACTTTTGATATCTATATATGTATAAAAAAAAAAGACGAAAGATTGATGACAATAGGAGACTTTTTTTTCATTAGTAACTTTCAGATTTAGTATCCGCTCGCTCGAACTGTTCGCCTTATCACAGTCATTAGTTTAGTGTGAAGGATTAGACGAAAGTGCAGTCAAGAGCATTACGTCGACCAGCGATGCAAGGCTTTCATCAAGTTTTATTTTAATTTTTTTTGGAGATTTTTTTTTATTCATTTTTATTGAAATCATTTTTATGAAATCATTTTTTTCTAAAACAACGTTTAATGGCTAAACGGTGATTCTTTTACCGTGATGACGAGCCTTATAAAAAAACGTGTTGATCGTCAAAATGTGGATTGAACATTGATAAAAGTAGTGACATTGTCGGTTTTGCGAAAAAATTTTGTTTTTTTTTCCGTTTTTTTTTAATCATTTTTGTTTTTTTGGAGTAAATTGTGTGAGAATTGTGTGAGAAGAGGAATTTTTTCAATCGATTATTTTAAGCTCGAGCGAATGAGTGAAAAATTTAGCTGTACGTTATGGATTGAGGCACTCCGTTCACTGTTTTCGATTTTAGAACATCGTTCTCATAGGACATTATCGTCTCCTTTCCATTCTCAGTTACTCTGGAAACAAAAAATTCAGTTTTTAGAAAAGATTTATAATAAAAATTTAATACTTTAATTTAAAAACTAATGTTTACTTAAATTCTCTTCAGAAAATTGTAACTAAAATGTTTTAAAACCCGAATTTTTCAAAATTACAAAATTAAATTATTAAAAACTTCAAAAATTTTCATAAATAAATATTTAAATACTTATTGTTATTTATTTTCAGAAATAAAATTTCGAAAACATTTTAATTCAAAACCCTCTGAAATTCAATTATTTTAAAAAATTTACAACTGTAATTATTCTTTTAAAATTCAATTATTCTCTAGAATTTTTAACTTAAATAATTCAAAAGTTTAATACTGTTTGAAAATAATTATATATAAATATTTCGAAACTTCAACATCAATAAAATTGAAAATTTCAAAAAATTTTTAAAATAAAATATTTCTAGAAATTGCTACTGCAACTTCTGTAAAATTATTTTCAAAAGTTTAATTCAATTATTGTTTAGAATTTTTGACTAACCAATTATGTGTAAACATTACTACTGTAACTTCTCTAAAATTAATTCCAAGATTTTAATTTATTATTTTCTAGGTTTTTACAGTAAAATTCTTCTCCGAATAAATTTTTTTTTTGAAATTTTGAGAAAGTTTTTTAATTAATTAACTATAGTAATTAAAATTATTAAAAAATCGAATTTTTAAAAAATATCATTTTGAATTTTTTTAAAATTCAATTATTTCTGATAATTTCTACTTCCACTCTTTGAATATTCAATTATTTTCTAGAATTTTTAGCTCAAATCCTCCCTATTTCAATTTTTTTTTTTAATAGTTTTGAGAATTCAATGAAATGAAAAGAAAAAAAGTTAACTTAAAATAATTCTAAAGTCTACAATTTAATTTCACGAAATTTTTATTATTCGAAAAGTTTTTGATTAAAATTCAATTTAAAAACTTAACTAATTTCAAAAGAACTTCGAATTAAAATTTTTCAAAAACATAACTACTTTTTTTCCTAAAGTTTCGAAAGTTTAAATGAACAACAATATTTTTATTATTTTGTTTAATTCGTATTTTTTTTGATAAAAAATTATTTACAATTATATTAATTGAGTAAGTTATTAAATGTTTTATTTACGTTATTTTTTATTACACTGTAGAAATTTCTAAAAACATTCAAACGAATTTAAATTATTAAAGCATTCTGAGAAGACAAAAATTTCAATTTTTAATGCAAAACGAAACTGAAATTTAGAAATTTTTCTTTTCATTTTCAATTTATTTTTTATTATTATTTATGAACACAGTTATTCTTCATTAATAAAAGTTAATTAACATTCTGAAAATGTTTGTAGAGAATTTTTATATTCTTAAAGTTTATAACGTTCAAATGAACGTTAATATTATTGTTAATTTCTTTAATTCGTATTTTTTTATAAAAAAAATTTTGTGTACTACAAAAATTAATTAACTAATGAAATGTTTAATTTACGTTATTTTTCATTACAGTCTAAAAATTTCTGAAAATATTTAAAATTTTAAACAGAAAAAAATTTCGTTCATTCGAAAGTTCAAAATTTTACAAAAATAAACTTTTGTTTTAGGAATTATTGAAATCAATATATTTCATTAAAAAATGTAATAAAATTTTAATTCAAAGGATTAAAAATAAATGAAAAATAATAAAATAAAAATAAATAAAATTCCCATCCTTTCAAACAATGGACAATTAATTAGATTTATTATATTTTTTTTGACATGAGAGTTTATCTTACTTCTTGGTGGTGATCTTCTTTCCGTTAATAAATCTCGTGGACGTGCTGGTTCGCTTCATAGAAGATCCAGTGCTAGGTCCACTAAAGGTGTTAATGGAATTAAATGAAGTGAAATTTCCACCTCCTCCACCTCCGTTACTTATCAAACCTCCGAAATCGAATGGTGCGAACGGCGAAAAGAAAGATGTGCTTAAGCTATTGTTACTAGAATGACTGTGCCTGCCTCCTCCCCATATATTTCCACCAAATCCTAAGAAAAAAATTAACGCAATTAATCATTAATTCATATAATTAATCATATTTTTAAGTGAAAAATAATTTTCTGAATTAAAAGTATTTGCCTTTTTCAAAGGAAATTTTTTTCAGAAAATTAAATTATTTTTTTTCAAACAAAAAACGATGAAAAAAATATTATTGCAAATTTTAAATTAAATCATATATAAAAATAAATAAAATTTATTTCTTACAAATTAATTGAAAATAAAAAATTAGTCCAGAATTAAATTAAACACCTTAAATTATTGAAAATAAAAAATTTATGACTTGATTAGAAATTAGTCTAAAATTTAATAAAATATAGAAAAAGAATACAACAATTATTAAAAATTGGAAATCAGAAAAATAAATTAAATTTATTTGTTACAAAATTATTGAAAATAAAAATTAATCACTCGATTAAAAATGATTCTAAATGTATTAAAATTTCGAAAAGAAAAATAATTCTGAACTCACCTCCAAATAGATCTTCAAACGGTGTGCCACCGAAAAATTCTCTGAAAACATCTTCTGGATCTCTGAAAACGAATGTGCTGGCAAAGACATCTTCAAAGTCGTCCTCGTGACGTCTCTTGCCACCTGGCATTTGAAGACCTTCCTTTCCATGCTTATCGTAAACTCGTCTCTTTCGTTCTGAAAATAACAAATAATACCAAATTTTAAAAATAATTTTCACAAAATACATACACAGAAAAAAAACAATTTTCAAAATTTCTTATTTTCAACCCATTTTCATTTATAAAGCAATATTATTGCAGGCTAGTTAGTTCACGGAAAAAAGGTCAGAAAAAATATCCTTGGAAGTCCACTGCAGCACTCTAAATTCAAGAGAGAACATCTTTACAAATTTTTTTTACAGAAAAAAATTGACTTCAATTTTTCCAAATTTAATTTAATTATTATTTACTTCAAACAGTTTTTTAAAATTAAATTTAACTATTATTAAAGAAAATTTTTTCTAGTAAAAAAAAGTACTTAAAGCCATAGAAGAAAATTCTCTCAAATAATAAAATATCAAAACAAATGACAAAAAAGTTAATTTAATTTGCAATCAAAAAATAGTCGAAAGATTTTCTCTCCTTTAGGAAAATTAAATAAGTTTTGTTATAAAAGACGAGAATAGCAGGGCAAAAGAAAGCATAATTTTTTTCTATTTTAATTATTATTACGGGTATAAAAGTAAACGAACCAAAAAAAAAAAAAAATGGTATATTAAAAAAATTAAATATTTTGTGTAATTTTTAAATGTCTCTGACACCGATCGTGAGAGAAGCTTTAAGAGTGAGGATTTCTGTTAATATCACTTGTGATATATTTTGATGATTATATCCCCTTCAAAATGAAAACCCTTTTTGGTATGTAAAAAGGAGCAAAAAAATTTTTGTTACCCTTTTCATGTTAAAAAGGTAAACAAAAATTATTTTTTCTCTTTTCATGTTAAAAAGAGGTAAGAAAAAAAATTGTTTCCATATGAATTAGAAAAAAAATTATGAAAGATTTTTAGGGATTAAATTAAAGGATCAAAAGTAAAAAAAATCAACCTTTTTTTATAAACTATTTAAAGATTATATTGTCATTGAAATTCTATTTAAAAATAGTAGAGAATGATTGTATAGATTCTTTAGAATCTCGAATTCAATCAATTTAACTTAATTTTACTTTAGGTCAATTTAATCAATGAAACGTTTTGATGCAAAATTACATAAGTAAATTAATCTTTTCCGCAATCTCAATGATAGTTTAAGAAAATTGTACTTTTTTTCAATTTGACTAATTTTTTCTATTTGATCTCGATTTTTAATTTTCTGTTATTGAAAAATAATTATTTTATTTCAATTTTCCAACGGCTGTTGATTTTATTTCTATTATTTAATATTAATTCCAAATTTTTTATTTCAATTTTCCAAAGACTATTAATTTTGTTTCTATTATTTAATATTAATTCCGAAAATGAATGCTTTATTTTAATATTCCAACGGCTATTAATCTTATTTCAATTATTTAATAATAATTCCAAATTTTTTATCTTAATTTTCCAAAGACAATTCATTTTATTTCTATTATTTAATATTAATTCCAAAAATAAATTTCTATTTCAATTTTCCAACGGCAATCAATTTGATCTCGATTTATAATTTTCTTTTATTCAAAAATAATTTTCTATTTAAATTTTGCAACGCAAATTAATTTTGTTTTTATTATTTAATTCAAAAAATAATTTTTTTTTCAATTTTCCAACGACTACTAATTTTATTTCTATACAGTTTAATATTAATTAATTTAATTTTTCAATTAAACTTTAACTTATTAATTTTTCATTTCAATTTTGCAAAAATAATTAACTTTATTTCTATTATTCATTTCTATTATTATTCTATTATTTAACAATAATTCCAAATTTTTTATGTCAATTTTCTAACGACAATTAATTTTATTTCTACTATTTAATATTAATTCTGAAAATAAATTTTTTACTTCAATTTTTAAACAGCTATTAATTTTGTTTGTTATTTAATATTAATTCCAAAAATAAATCCTTTATTTCAATTTCTCAACGGCTATTAATTTTATTTCTATTTATATAATAATTTATCCAAGAATTAAAATTAATTAGTTCAAAAAATCATTTTTATTTCTCATTTTCTAACGACTTCAATTTATTTCTATTAATTAGTATTAATCAATTAATTAATCCCAATAGTATTAATTATTATTTGCAAACTAATATCTAAAATCAAAATTAAAAATGAAATTACCATTTTAATTGCAAAAATGAAAACAAAAAATTAAAAATCGAGAAAAAATAGCCAAATTTAAAACAAAGAATCTAAAATTTAAAAAAAAAATCAAAAAGGGTTTAATGAAAAGGTTGATGTTAGGATAAAGGAATTGTTTAAAACAATGCTTTCAAATGAAGGCTTTGAGAAAAAAAATCGATGAAAAAAAATGTGAAAATGCGAATAGTTTGTAATGGAAATTTTTTTTTTAGACTTTTCGCATTTTTCTGTTTGTTTATCGTGAGCACCGCTTGACACTCTTAAAGTTCTTTTGTGACGGTGTACCGAAATATCGCTGGAAAGGAGAATCAAAGAAACTCCTATAGGTGAATCCACGGCCTGGTCTCGAGGATGCCTTCTGATACAATCGTTGATCGTAGCTTCTCCTTTTGGCATCTGGATACCGCGAGATACATCATGACAATCCGGGAACAAACAGATTTTTTTGTTCATTTGATTCACAGAATCATTTTATAATTTAATTAGAAACATTATTTTATCAATTTGATACTTCAAAATTTTTCTGTTTCAATTTTTTTTTACTATATGAATTTATTTTTTAATTTTTGTCAATTTGTCAATTTTTTTGACATTTTCAATTTGTTAATTTATTTCTGATTTCTGTCAATCCACTTTCAATTTTAGTCAATTTATTTTTCAATCTTTGTCAGTTTATTTTCAATTTTTGAATTTATTGACAATTTGTTAATTTATTTGCAATTATTATCAATTTATTTTTCGCTTTTTGTCAATTTACTTACAAATTGTTATTTTACTTTCAATTTTTGTCTATTTATTTTCAATACCTGTAAAATTATTTTAAATTTGATAATTTGTTTTCAATTTGTCAATTTATTTCTAATTTACTAATTTATTTTCAATTTCTGGCAATTTGTTTTCAATTCCTGTCAATATAAATTTTTATCTTTGTCAGTTTACATACTCTCGAATTTTTTAACTTATTTGCAATTATTATTATCAATATTTTTCAATTTTTGTTGTCAGTCTATTTTTAAATGCTGTCAATTTATTTCCAATTTATTTATCAACTTCTATTAATTTACTTTCAATTCCTGTCAATTTATTTTTTTAATCTTTGTCAGTTTATTTTTGATTTGTCAATTTATTACCAATTTTTAAATTTATTTGCAATTAAAATCAACATATTTTTCAATGTTTCTCAGTATATTTCTAATTTGTCAATTTATTTTCAATTTCTGTCAACTTTCTTTCAATTCCTGTCATTTTATCTCGTCAAGTAATAAAATTCCCTTTCGCAGTGAATTCATTTCAATTTTTTCTCTAATAATTTCTTATTAAAATCTTCAAAAAAAAAATTTGCTGATATTTTCTTTTCTCTTTAGTGGAAATTAATTAACATAAATTAAAATTGATTAATTAAATTAAAAAATAAATAAATAATATTACAAATCTGATGAAAAATATGAGCAATGATGTATCAGCTCGATTTCGCATTTTTTGTTTTTTATAGAAGAGAAAATGAAACAAGTTAATTATTCTTTGTATTATCTGTGAAAGAGAAAGTAGTAGAAAAAAAATACAAAAATACGGAAATGACAATGGAAAATTCAAGTTAGATTTTAGATGAAGTTTGCTGTTTGCAAAGAGGGTTGCAATCGATATTTGTGTTTGCATGGGCGCATGTCCTTGTTCAGGGTTGCACATAAATCAACTTTAAAACGTCTTTATCGACGCCAGGAGCATTTAATGATAATAATAACTTTATACTGTAAAGTGTCATTATACACGCTTAGCGCTTTCGTCAAAAAAAATTTAATTCCCGTTATTAAACCAAAAAAAAAATAAATAAAATCGAAAAGACGATTTACGATGAAGATAAAGAAACTATTTAATTTCCCTCTAAACTATTAAAATTTAAAATTGATAGGAATTATTCTCACTTTTCCAAACTAATTTTCTTTCCCAAAGAGGAAAGAGGTAAAAGGAAAATATCGTTTAAAGTTCAAACGACCCAAGTTTTTCTAAATTATTCCAATCCTTCACAAAAAGAAAATAATTTTGATTCTGAATTTTTATTTTCTAAAAAACGATTCGAAAAATCGTTTTTAACTAATTTTTTTCCGCAAAGAGAAAAATCAAGTAAACCAATCGGTTTTCCTAAAATATTCAAATTTTTCCCAAAAGGAAAATAATTTTGTTTATATGAATTTGTATTTTCTAAAAATGATTTTTTGAATCTAAGGCTAAACATACGATTTGAAAAATTGTTTTCAACTAATTTTTTGTCCCAAAGAAAAAATGGAAAAGTCAAACGAATCAATTAGCTTTCCAAATTTTTTTAATTTTCCCCAAAAAGAAAATATTTTTTTTTAATTTATATTTTTTAGAAACGATTTTTTGAATTGTAAAACAATTCGAAATTTTTTTCCTCTAAGATAAAAGGTAAAAATCAAACGACTTTGTCAGTTTTCCTAAATTATTCCAATTTTCCCCAAAAATTTTCTTTCCTACAGAAAAAAGAAAATCAAACAACTCAATCAGTTTTCAAAAATTATTCTAATTTTCCCAAAAAAAATATTTTTGTTTCTCAATTTATATTTTCAAAAACGACTTTTTGAATCTAGAAACACTTTTTCGAATCGTTTATAAATTAATTATATTTCACAAAACTTGTTTTTATAATTTATAATTTACAATTTTAATTTAATTCAATTATGAATTTTAGTTTTAATTTAATTTTTAATATTAAATTTACATAATAAATAAATCTAAACAATTTTTGCGATTCAGAACGAAAAAAGGAAAAAATAATTCGAAAATCGAAATCATCTTTTTTACGATTCAAGAACGAAAAGGAAAAAAAAATAATTCGACAGTCAAAACGATCGTTTTTCAGATTCAGAACGAAAAAAATATAATTCGTAAACTATTTAATAAATATAATAGTATAATAGAATAATTGTATTTAAATAGTTTTGAGCATTGTTTTATAGTTATGGATTTATTTATAAGCAATAGAAAAAGAATGAAATCGTCACGGCACGATTGCCAAAACGAACGCACATTGTAAGTGTTTAAAAGATATTTTCTAGCACTCTAATTTAATTCTAATCACGTTGAACCTGATTAAAGCTTTAATTCAATTATAACTATTAAGCGCTCAACAATATTATTGACACACCTTTTGCATCACACATCTACCTCTAGTCTATTGTCATCGAAGCCTCTACTTCAAAATTACTCACTCAATTCGTACTTTTACTTTGCGAATTCAATCCCAATTTTTCGAAATTTATTTTTATTTTCCTTTTATTTCGATTAAACAAATATTTTTATTTTATATATTTCTTTATTTCAAATCAATTTAATGCGAAAAAAATATTTTTCAAAGAAGAAAATATTGACAACAAAATATTTGATTAAAATTGCTATAATTGAAATTTTTTTTACCAAACAATATTTTTCAGTCAACTGAAAAAAAAATTTTTACTAAAAGTAAAAGTTATCAAAAAAATTTGTAAATTCGTAAAATTTGTCTTAATTTCATTTTTTCTAAAGTTATGTTTCAATTTTGAATATAAAATTTGGTTAAATTTTAATTTCTAAAATTCATTTGAATTTTTCTTTTCCTAACTTCATTTCAATTTTAATTTTCTAAAATTCTGATTCAATTTAATTTTTCTAAACTTATTTTACAACTGTAATTTTCTAAAATTCGATTCAATTATGATTTTCTAAAATTTATTTCAATATTATTTTTCCAAAATTCTAATTCAATTCGAATTTTCTAAAATTAGTTTCAATTTCGATTTTCTATTAATTTTACTATTCTAAAATTTTTGTTTCATTTGAGTTTTCTAAATTTCATTTCAGTTTTGATTTTCTCAAATCTGTTTCAATTTTATTTTTCCAAATATTTTACGATTACGAAAAAAAAGATTTTTTTCTTCCTCAAGTAAAATTTCAAAAATTTTGTTTGAATCAACCAAATATTTATGACCGATCTCATTTTTATTAAAACGAAAAATTCTATATCTCAAAGATTTTCTGCAAATATTTTGTTGTCAAAAAATAATTTCAAAAAATTAAATTCTCTATAAAAAGAATTTTAAATAATAAGATTTAAATTTAATTTCAACTAATTGAATAAATAAAAATAAAATTTTGTTTCGGTTAATTTTGGATTTTTACTGTAAACTCTTTTGAAAATTCGTCAAGAAATCCCCCCCCCCCAAAATATAACTGCAAGAAGGACTATGGAAAAGCTAATGCAAAGCTTCTGCCATGTTTATATCAAAATGAGTGAAAAATGCTTAAAGAATAAAGAAGAGAAATTATCAATTTCTTGCAAATCTTACCGTCGATTAAAACTTCATAGGCTTCTGAGATCTCTTTAAATCTTTTCGTCGATTCTTCTAAATTTTCAGGATTTTTGTCTGGATGCCATTTGAGGGCCAATTTTCTGTACCTGCGAAAAAATTCCACTATTAGTAAAAGCGTAACAAAAAATGTCTTTTTATAATTTTCATCAATTTAATTTTTAATTTCTTCCAATTACATTTATTTCAATTTATTTCAAATTTAATTTTTCTAAAATTAATTTCAATATTGATTTTCCAAAATTTGGTTCAGCTTTATTTTTCTAAAATTCGTTTCAATATTGATTTTGCAAAAGTTGTTTCAATTTTATTTTTCACTCAGTCTGATTCAATATAAATTTTCTAAAATTCTAAATAAATTTTATTTTTCTGAAATTTTAATTTAATTCTAATTTCTTATCTATTTTTCTAAAATTTTTGTTCAATTTTGATTTTCTAAAAATTTTTTAATTTTATTTTTCTAAACATATGGTTTAATTTTAATTTTGTAAAAAATATTTTAATTTTGTAAAAAATATTTTAATTCTAATACTCTTTCGATTTTATTTTACTAAAATTCGTTTCAGTTTTGATTTTCTAAAGTTTGATTCACTTTTATGTTTCCAAAATTAGTTTCAATTTTGATTTTGTAAAATGTGTTTCAATTTTATTTTTCTAAAATTTTTGTTCAATTTTGATTATCAAAAATTTAATTTTATTTTATTTTTCGAAACTGATGTTTTAATTTCAATTTTCTAAAATTAATTTCAATTTTGATTTTCTAAAATTTCTCTATTTTCTTTTTCTAAAATTCTAATTCTATTTTAATTTTATAAAATTCGTTTAAATTATATTGATCTAAATTTATGTTGTAATTGTTATTTCCTGAGATTCGTTTGAATTATATTGTTCTTTTATGTTGTAATTTTAATTTTCCAAAATTCGTTTCATTTTTATTTATCTAAAATTCTAATTCAATTTTATTTTCCTAAAATTTTGATTGATTCAAATATACTTTTCTAAACTTTTGTTAAATTTTTATTTTTCCAAATCAGTCTCTGAAACTTCTTTCACTTTCAATAAAAAATTAATCAGTGTCCCAAAAAATCATTCAAATTTTTCCCTCGCCTACTTATCATTGTGTCTAAAGTTTGAACTCTCTCAACGAAAGCAAAATCATGCAAAGAAGGACGCATTCCTTTTTTTCTTTCACGAACCAAGAAGAAGAGGAGGAAGAAAATAAGCAGAGCAGGAAATTCGAAATTAGATTGCTTTGTCCCTTTCTTAGACAATGAATTCTGAAAATTCATCACGACAGTGGACTACCAGTTATGACAAAGTTTATTTTGGTAGGAGGTTTCTCTCTGTCAGTGGCTGTTCGGTGCCACGACCGTGAAACAGGTCACAGACCTTTGAGAATAACCTCGAATGCACCTCGGATGTACCACTAATGCAACGAGAGAACATTGAGAGAGGAAAAAAGGAAAAGGAGAGAGAAAGAGAGAAAAAAAGAGAAAAAAGAGAGAGAGAGTGGATTTAACATAATAAAAGGCTTGATGATTTTTCTCTCTTTTCAACTCGAGCACGTGTTTCTTTTAAAATAGAGAGTTTAAAATCCTCCCGGGTTCACTGAACCACATTTTAAATCTTCCCGTCACTCTCGATATTATTGTCAAAGGACCAAAAATTGCATCACTTTTTATCACTTGTGCAAAAAAGAGGAAACTAAACAAAAAGTCGTCTTCTTTCATTGACGGTAAAATTTAGATTTCAAGATCAACTCAATTTTTTGATTATTTCTAATAATTATCCTGACTGGAAAAGTTTTAGAAAATTTTATTTTAAACATTAAAAATATTTATTTTACAATATATGTCTCTAAAGATACGAACGTTGAAATAAACGAAATTTTTTTTTATACATTGTCGTTAAAATTTGAATTATAAGGTTGCCACACACTTATTAAATTTTGTTTTTCCCTGACTTTTCCCTGATTTCCAGACAAAATTTTGACTTTTTCCCTACACGCTAAAGAATATTCTGATTCACTCTAAAAATTATTAGATACTCAAGAAAATGTTCTATTGCTTTTATTTACAATTTCTTTCATTTGGAAAATTATTCGAAAACGTCGACAACTTTTTTTTTAAAGAAATATTTAATCATTATTATTTTTCCAAAGAAATTAAGATTTTCAAAATTTCAAATTCATATCTTTTGAAATTCAATAACTTATAAGTATATTATTATAAAACATGAAAAAATCAATCACTCCGAGTCGACGACTCGGAGTGATTATTGCAAAGACTATAAAAAAGTTCCAAACAATTGATTTCTTTCGATAAAATTTATTTAAATTCTATTTTTAATAATTGAATTCCGGTGAAATTTTCATTATTTTAGAAAATAATTGAATATTCGTGTAGAATTTTGTCAAAATTGTTTTTAAATAATTGAATTCTTCTGGTAAATTTAAAAAAAATAATATAGATATACAAACTATTCAGTTTAAGAAATATTTTTGAAAATAATTATAATTTTGCCATGAATTTTATAAAAAATTTTGAAAATAATTGAATTTCTGTGATAAATATTGTTTTATGAAAATAATTGACTTCCTCCGAATGATTTTATAATTTATGAAAATAATTAAATCTCTGACAGGAATTGTAAAATTTATGAAAATGATTCAATTACTGCAAAGAATTTAATGCCAAATTTGAAAACATTTGTTTTTTTCGAAAATATTTATACAAATACTATTTTAAATAATTGAATGTTCGTGTAGAATTTTATCGAAATTTTTGTTTAATAATTGAATTCTTGTGGGAAATTTTATTAAAATAGTAAAATAGTGAAAATCATTGAATGAAGAAAAATTTTTGAAAATAATTGAATTTTGCAATGAATTTTATTAAAATTCCTAAAAATAATTGAATTTTGTCGAAGAATTTTGCTATTCATTTCTAAAGATAATTGAAATGTTGACGACTTTTTTTAGATTTTTTCAAAATAATTGAATTTTTTCAAAAAATTTTATTAATTTTGAAAATAATTGAATTCCTGTGATGACTATTGTTATTTATGAAAATAATTGAATTTTGCAATGAATTTTATTGAAATTCCTCAGAATAATTGAATTTTGGTGGAGAATTTTGAAATTTACAAAGATAATTGAAATGTTGACGAGAAATTTTCTTCAAATTTTTTAAAATAATTGAATTTCTGGAAATAATTTTGATTTTTATTAAGATAGATACAATCAATTTCTATTTAACTCGTCTATGGCAACATTTTTTTAATTTTCATATGAAATTTCGATGTATTGAACATTTTTATGTTCAAAACCTCGAAAGTTAAACTCCCTGAATGCTCAAAACCTTGAATTTTTTTTTTTATGATAAAAGGGGAAATGGGAGAATATCCATTATTTTAGATATTTAAGTAACTTAATTAATTTATAAAGATAAAAAAACGTGAGAAGAAAAAAAAAATGGCGCCTTTGTAAAGGATAATAATAATATTTTTGATAATAAATAAATAATAAAAATTCTATAAAAAAAATTTTTATAATAAAATTTTAATAATAAAATTGCTTATGAATAATTATTTTTAGGAAAAATAGTATTTTCAGTGTAACATAAAATTTCATGGATATAATTTTCTCTCCAAATATAGATTGAAGTAGAAGAAGAAGAAGAAAAAAAGTTTACTTTACGAGAATAGCTATTGAACACATATATTATATATGTAGGTTTTATAATAGTGCGAGTAAAGGAAGAATCTTCCAATAAAAGTCTTTACACACGTGCCATTAATCACTGCGGTGGTACTTTCAGAACTCTATATCAATTTTCACGAGTAGAGAGAGACCCAGTGCGAATGCGAGAAGCAAAGAAACTGTTACAAACGTTTACGTTGATTGATTGGTTGAGTTCAAACTTCACGCAAATAGAAAATATATATCTTTAAATTAATGCCATTAAAATCAATTCTATCCGCGTATATAGAAAGTTACATTTTCATTTGGAATATTACAAAAGCAATCGATTTTTCAAGATAATCGCATAAATAATTGCGTGTGTTTCGAATTTCTAATAATTAATAATAATAATAATAATTATTATTATTAAATTAATTTTGGAAATTTAAAATATCGAGTGTTTCAAAAATTTGCGCAATATTATTTAAGGGTGAAATAAATTTCACCCTTAAATAATATTGCGCAATTTTTTTTTTTTTTGCTTTTTCAGAATTTAATAATTTAATTTAGTTTAAACTATTTCGATATTTTTAATTGCCAAGATAAATTTATTTGTATTAAATAAAATTAATTAATTAATAAAATAAATAATTTCACCCTTAAATAATATTGCGCAATTTTTTTTTTTTTTTTTGCTTTTTCAGAATTTAATAATTTAATTTAGTTTAAACTATTTCGATATTTTTAATTGCCAAGATAAATTTATTTGTATTAAATAAAATTAATTAATTAATAAAATAAATAATTTCACCCTTAAATAATATTGCACAATTTTTTTTTTTTTTTGCTTTTTCAGAATTTAATAATTTAATTTAGTTTAAACTATTTCGATATTTTTAATTGCCAAGATAAATTTATTTGTATTAAATAAAATTAATTAATTAATAAAATAAATAATTTCACCTTTAAATAATATTGCGCAATTTTTTTTTTTTTGCTTTTTCAGAATTTAATAATTTAATTTAGTTTAAACTATTTCGATATTTTTAATTGCCAAGATAAATTTATTTGTATTAATTATTAAAATTAAATTAATCTTGAAACTTAAAAATATCTCGAGTGTTTCGAAAAATTGCGCAATATTATTTTTAAGGGTGACATTAAGAATTTCAAAATTTAATAATTTTTAACAAAATTTTAAATTTCTTTATTTTTAATTTTCAAAATCAAATTATTTCTTTTTCATTATTAGTGTTAAATTAATTTTCAAAATAAAATCAAATCGAGCGTTTCAAAATTCTTTTCTTCTTGCAGAGAGAAAAACTTTTAATTAGAAAAAACCGTTCTTTCAAAAACTATTGTTTATTTTAATTTAATTAAAAATTTAGAGACAAAAAGTTGTGTTATTAAATATAAATATTAATATAATAAATAATTTTAAAAAAAATTATAAATGAAAAAAATATTGTCCTCCATGTGAAAATTAAACTTTTTTCTTTAAATATAAATTTTAAATAATTTATGTTGTAAACTTCACCAAATCACCAAAGTCAAATTTTTCAAATCATATATTTTCTTAAATTGTCTGGAACTAAAATTTAGTTTTCTTAAAAAAAATAAATTTTTTTCAATAATAATTTCTTAATTTTATAAATATATTTTTTAAATTTTATTTGAGAAATATACGGTACGAGTAATAATTTATTTTTATATAATAAATAAATTAAATAAAACTCGAGTGTTAAAATTATTTGCTACAAATAATAAAGTTGTTGAAAGCAAAGTTCCTTTCTATTTTATAATTCCTTTTCTTTTTCAAGAAAAAACAAAAAAAAATAAAAATAAAAACAAAATGAGAGTAACAAACCAAGTTGAAGTCCACAACGTTGATCAACGAAAAAAAATTGTTCACTTAGTAAATTAATTAAAAATGACGCATAAATATTGACACAAAAATATTTAGAAAAAAAATTTTGTGTTTATATTTTGATAATAATTATTTTACAATTAAAAATTAAATTAAAAATAATACTTGAATGCATGAAATAAATTTTTTTCGTTGATAAACGTTGTGGACTTCAACTTCGTAGTAACAATAGTTATTAGAATAAATATTTATATTATAAATTTTATTTATCTATGTATTTCTTTATTTATTTATTTACAATAATATAATCAATTATTTGCCAAAAATAAAAAATGACTGTAAATTTTCAAAAATTGCAAAAAGAAAAAAATTACTAAAAAAATGACTGAAAATTTAGAAAATAACTAAAAGAAAAAATGACTTTAAATAAATAAATAAATTCCAATAATAAATTTATTGGAACAATTAAATGGAAAATTAGCAGTACTTACGCTTTCTTGATATCTCCGCTCGAAGCTGTCCGCGAGACATCGAGGGTTCTGTAGTAGTCAACCATTGTCCCTGTCTTCTCAATTGAGTGTCAAGTCTTAGGCAACCACCTGTCGGAACAATTGCAACGTAACGTTTATTTATCGCTATTAGTCGACACCGATCCATTCGTGGCCAATTGGCAACGATCCGATATATGCGAAAAACGAACGATTGAAAATGCTCCCGAAAAAATGATTATCATTTCACATATTCTAAATATGAATCTTTCAAATTCTTCACAAACAAAAAAGAACACTGAGAGAAAAAAAGAGGAGAGACGAAAATAGAAATTTACTACTTTCACTACTTTAAATCGAAATTAAAATTATTATTATTAAAATTAAATTCAAATCTCCTCAGTATTTTAGAGTTTCGTACATTGAAAAAAAATTTATTGTATTCAAATACCATTTAATTGACTCAAATAAAAATTCAAAATAAAATTCAAATAAAAAATATTTACTTGAATCAAATAATTTTTGAGGCAATTAAATGGTATTTGAATCAAATAAATTTTTTCCTATTTATAAATTGAGAAATTAATTTTCATAAGTGTCTGATTAATTATTTTTCAGTAATTATTAAGTAGCAAACATTAAATAACAATTTAATAAAATTTATCTTTAATTAATTTTGTTACAAATAATTTTTCTTTTAGCATTTTCGAAAGTCGATTTTCGCATATATATAGAAAAGAATATTATATTGAACAATTTTATAAATTAAATTTTCAAATTTTATTCATAAATTGAATGAAATTTATTTCTACATCTTATGTTGTTGAAGTTAACAACGTTTTTGATCGACAATTAAAAAAAAAATATTTTGCTTGACAAAAACCATAAAATATTTTGTTTATTACATATACGAATTTTTCTTTTTTCCAAATTATTGGTAAAAAAATTATGCAAAACATTTTTTATAGCAAAATATATAAAAATTTAAGTAGAAAAATAATTTTTCTTCTAAATCGTTGATTATAAGTATTCTGAACATCAGCAACGTAAGTTTTTTATAATAGTTTATATTTTTATGTTGTAATATTTTTTATAATATAATAATTTATTTCATAATATTTTAATAACAATTTATATCTTCATGTTGTAATTCTTGTTTCAACAATTTATATTTCCAAAGTGCAATCTTTTTAGATTGCAATTTATATTTTTATATTGTCACATTTATTTTATATTTTATTTATTATACCTACATTTTTTTCTTAAATAAAATTTTTTATTTACAAAACATTAAAAACTTTAGTGTCATGATAATAAAAAATATTCAAAAAGAATCAAATTTCACGTCTACTGCGAAATATATATAAATAAATAAATTTACTTTATTTAAATAAATAAACAATAAATTTTATTATACTCCAAAATAGTCGAAACTCTATAAATCAAAGTTCAAGGAAATTAATTTCAAAATCGTTTCAAGGAAGTCATGATTTCCCAAAAATTAAAATGAATTTTTTTTACAAATTTTTACTGTAATGGAAAAAAGTCGATATTTTCCTTATAAAGAAGTTGTACTGCATTTATTGCAAAAAATAAATTTTAATAAATTGTATCAAAAATTACAAATTCAAACATCTTAGAATTTAAAATTATTTTTAATATTTGTTTCTAATTTAAACGATCTTTATTTATTTATTTAATAATACTTCAAAGTATGAAATAAATTTTACCTAAATTTTTTCCCCAAAGTAAATTGTAGTAAAAATGATTAAAATTTAGTTCAAAAGTTTTCAATTTTACTAATGTTTCTAATGACCTAATTTTTGAAGATCTAATATTTTTAAGAACCTAATTTTTAAAGAACTAATGTTCTTACAGATGTAATTTTTTTAAAGACCTAATATTTGAAAAGGCCTAAATTTTTCTAAAAACTAAGTTTTTTGAAATACCTCATTTTTTTAAAGACCCAATTTATTTCTTTTAAAAAACTTTAATTTACTTTTAAAAATAAAAAAAATCTTCTAAACTATTCAAACAAACGAAAAACTCCAATTTACTTAACTAAGAACACAAAAAAAACTCCAATCAACTAAACAAAAAGCAACTCCCGCATTTACCCTATCAAACAAAGACTTCAATTTACTCATTCAACTATATTATTCCTCTCTTGGAATCGAATCGAGTTTCATAAACTTTAAAGTGGATTAATCTCAAAAGTGTTTTATAATCCAGAATCCGTCATGAGTATAAGGATGTTTACTTCGCAGTGTACCATATAAATTTTGTCCGAGTGAAATTCACAAGTGGCTCTCAAAAATATAAACCAAAAAATAAAAATCAAAAATTTTTATTTCAATAAAATTGTTAATTAAATTATACCTAAAAAAAAAATAAATGAAAATAATTTTTAATAAAAAAATCTAAACTGTTCTATAACTTTATTCTCTTTAAAATTTTTTTATTACTTATTTTTTAGCCGAAATGAATTTTAGTAAAAGTCACAAAAATTTACTTCAAACGATTTAAAATTTACACTCCTAGAATAGACAAAGTTGCAAATAATTTCAGAAAGTTTATAGGTTTTTGACATTTAAATATATTTACTTAAATCAATTAATTTTTATTTATATCATTTGAATACCATTTTCTTCAAATACTGAAATTATTCATTCAAACACAATTTTTTTAACTATAGAAATTATTTATTTCAATTAAATATTAATTTGATATAATAGACAAGCAATCAGTTATTTGAATCAAATAAATTTTCCTTTGCAATAGTCAATAATTTAAAACAATAAAAATTCGTAAACAGAAAATTTTACTGTTCTTCGTGTGGAAAATATTTTTTTCTCTCAATCGTTGATCATAAAAGTTATTGTGACCTTCACTATCGTAAAGTTGCATTATATTTTTTTTCAGCGGAATATTTGAAAGTGTCAATATCCTAATAATAAACATGTGGGGAAAAAAGTTTAAAATATATAATTATTATTATTTTCCCTATCTTTCTCTCTCTCCCATTTTTCTTTATCATTACCGTTATTAGTCGCGTAATAAATACAAGCATCCCGCAAGCACATTGAATTATAAGCTAAGAGCCGAGGTCACATAAGTTCGAATGGTGCATTTAACGACGTAATAATACTATATTAAAAACGGACGTGAGCAAATAAGTTGCAATGTAATAATACTGATAAGAACCACCCAACGTAATTTCATTCCACTTTTCCAATAATATAACATAAAAAAAATTGAAAATAAAGAAAAAAGAACCGATTCAGGTACAAATTATTATAATTATATAATTATGTCCTACATCCGCGAGCAGGGAGAATTTTCTTTGTTTTTTTTTTTTAAAAAGTCGTAAATTAATTTTAGATAGCATTAAATTATCCAATTTTCAAATCCATTAAATTTAAATCTAATAGTATATAATTAGAAGTAAAGGGGTGAAAAGTTAACAAAAAAATCCCAAATGCAATTCCAATAATGAACTATACGAATTTAAAATACGAATTTCTCTTTTGAATTATTTTACTTTTATTTTATTGTTATTATTTTTTATTTTAATCATTCAATTTTATTACTAATCGAACCAATTATTTCTGTAGTTCAAGCAAACAATTCAAATAATTAGAATAATAATAATAAACAATTGTTTTACATTTAATAAATAATTTTAATAATTTGATTATTAAATTTTATTACTAATCGAACCAATAGATTCTGTATTTTAATGCAAACACTATTTAACTGTTTTAAATAAAAATCATTTGATGCAGCTAAATTTATATTAAACTATTAATTAATTAAATTTTCACGATATGACGAGAAAGAAATATATTATTAATCGACAAATTGTGAATTTTATTGCACTTTCTAATTTTAACGATTTCAATACTACTTTTTATCCTTCGATACAAATAATATAAATAAATAATTATTATAATTAAAAAATAGGTAATAATTATTTATTATTACGGTAATAAAGTAATAATTATAGTAATAATTCCAAGTTTTGTAATAATATTATATAGTAATGATTATAAGTTTTGCAAGATAAAAAAATTAATAATGGGCCCTCTCTGTTTCTGACGTAGATAAAAACTTCCTAATTACTGTACAATTGAGGCTAATTAACGAAAATATATTTCAATCTCTGTTTAAATATTGAAGCAATGGAAATTTTTCCATTTGAGTGAAAGGGCCACAGTAAACAAAAGAAATAAATTGAGGTTAAACCGTTATCAATAATCAGTGTCCAATTATTGTACTTACAGTTTCAAATTTAAAAAGAAAGAAATAGAAACCTAGTACCGTTGTCAAATGCAAACATTATAAATTTTTCCATTCTTTCCTTATAATTTTTAAATAAAAAAAATAAATTTTTCTGGTATAAACATAAACAACAATAATATTATTATTTATTTATTTTTAACATTTCCCGCAGTTTCCAAAAAGTAATAAATAATAATAATAATAATTTACGAATATTAAAATAAAAAAACTGAATCTATAATCAAAAGAAACAATAATTTTAAATAGAAAACAAACAGAAATTACAACAATTAATCTAAAAGTAAGCAAGTTTTCAATTTATTTAAATAAAACAATTTTTTAAATTAAAAAAAAAATAATTTAATAGAAACCTAGACAATTTTTAAAATAGAGAAAAAGTAAAAAAAAATTAACAAGATAAATTTTAACGGAAAATAATTCAACGATGATTTAATGAAAGGATGAAAAGTAATTGAAGAATAATTTAATGGAATATAAATAAAAAACTACTTAACACAAAATGAAAAGAAAACAATGTTTAAAATTACAATTAGTACATATAAAATTTTTATATTAAAAAAAAATAATAATGAAATAGAAAAGATTTTACAAATGCTTAACACGTGTATGTATGTTCAAATGAAGAACACACACACACGAAAGTGCAAGATATATAGTAGTAAAAGTCACTTAAATTATTCATCGTTTCTTAGGTTAATTTTACGTCAAGACAGGAAATCGAGTATTTGCTCATTTACACTACGATAAGAAATAAATAATATATATACACAAGTGGAACAAAATTTTTATATGCGAACAAATAAAAAAAT